CTGAGCAAATTCCTGATCTCAGAATTGTATGGTCCTGAATGCTACAGAGCCAAAAGCAGTCTATGAACCTTGAACACAGTTTTTAATTTCAGCTGCCAGATGTCGCTGGGACAGTGGGCATTGCACTCATCCAGATAAAAATGTGATAATTATAAATGACTTGAAACTATGATGGCACACTTTTCTTCCATATACTTTCTATGCTAGGTTATAGTGTGTTAAAGGCAACTTCTTAAAGCCCCTTTGATATGTTTTGACCAGTTATAAATCAGACTGAAATGAATGCCTTTTGTGGTATACAAAAGCAAACAAGACCATCAGGACAAAGACTGATAATTTCTATATAGTATTTTGTGATGCCTGAAACCACTGTCACTGTCAAACAAGGAGATTTCCAGCATTTTTTAAAAACATTTTTCCTGAGCAAAGTTTCATAATGAGTGAAACATTTCACTGTTAAAAGAAAGCAGAAATTGAAAACACAAGATCAGCAAAGGTGTAAGAGGTACCACTTTGAACAAAGGGGGCGCCAAAATAGATATAAACTAAAAAATCCTCACAGAAGCTCACAGTGCTAATTGTGCAATGGGGCTTATGGACTTATTTAGTAATCAGTATGCACAGTAGAAGTCTCTGATTTGTTGTTATACAAGTACCTTACTTTATCAGACATTCGTGTGCATTACTTTCTGGCAACTTTCCAGGAAATGATAAAAAGACGACAGAAACAAAAGATACGCGTAACTAAGTGTTTGGAGAAACTCACCCCAGGTCACTAATTAACAGTAATAGATGCATTGCAGCTGTAATTATACCGGCACTGACTCATTGGCCTTGGGTGTATGGAAAGTCATAACTAATGTGTGGGACAGACATGGCTCTTGAATAAATTCATGATATGTTGCAGATATTTGAAGAAGTTTACGTGAGTAAGAGCTCTTATCATAGACAAAGTTAAACTCTGTATCTCAGTTGTTGCCACAGTTGCTGCACATCTGAATATTAAACTGTAAAGATAAAGTACTTTAAATAAAAGCCTGCATTTAACACTGAAAAGTGTTGTTTTACTTTTTGAGGTTTTCAATAACTCCCTAAAGATATCAACATTTTCAAATCCATTGTTTGCCTTGAGCTAATAAAAGTTTTCTGTCGAGAGGAACCTATAGAAACAGTCGATTTAACTGAAGCCAAGACAAAAACGGCTATTACTGAAGAACAAATGCAATTCTATATAAACCATGTTTCCAGGTAAGAAAATGAATGAATATTATGCTATATGATGCCAATGGATTATTTTAACCCCACATCTCCAAATCTCCAAAATATAGCCTTGTTAAGCAGTTCATATGGCCCTTAGCATCATGATACAGAACAAATATTAATTGTGATGCCAGAGAAAATCTAACATCAATTGCACAATGCCAAAGAGGGCTTTAAGCCTGAAAAATATCTCTGACCTATCTGTAAAACTACATTTTGTCATAAAAAGAATGCTGTATTTGAAATCTTTACCGGAAAAAAACTAATGGAACAAAAGAGCAAAAATATCTTAAAATGCAAACTATAAGATTTACAATTGCAGAGGAAATTACACAGTAATGAGGTTTTGTCATCATGAGAAACTTCCTTGTACAATATCTACTTTCAGTTGCATTCACTTTCTGGTGGAGTGAGACTTTCTTGCATTATCCTTCATCACAGTGGTGAAGAGTGAGTTATGTGAACTAGTAAATGAGGTTGTTGGGTGCAAGATTTCTCTGGGGCTGAGCTATTTATTTCGCCTGTATATCTAATGACTTTGTAACCCTTTGAAGAAGATGGAAGTTTGACGGAGTGGCAGTGCTTGTAAGCACACAAGCAGCACACTTTCCCCTTAGGAAATGCCTGTGGACTGCCTGTCTGGTTTCCTGGCTGCCTGCTTGAGTAGCTGCTCAGCTGATTTTTCATGCAGGCAGGCAGAGAAGTATTGACTGAAGCTATGTTGGATCAGAGGGCAAAGCTGATAAACAGCACATGAATGTATATGCATGCACACACACTTCTCCAACCAATTGGTGACCAACATGGCCAAAAAGGGAAAATGAAATGATTTGGGGAGAAAAGATGAAATTTTGTTTTACAGGTCAGCTGTCTTTCAAATACTTTTTCAAAAAAGGGCAAATCAAAATGGCATCGAGGAGGGTTTAAGATAGACAGGGCAATGTTTTGTTGCAAATACACAACCTTTGGAAAAGGGCAAGCAGATAGAATTACTCCTCACGCAGCAGTACATGTTGGTTGCCTTACTGCAGACTATCTCTATCCTTTGTAAAGCTACAAGCACCATTGTGGCCATCGATTGGCTGTGTTATAGAAAAGCCCCCATATATCTGTACTCCTTAATAAATACAGCATTGACCCTTTCATGTTTGAAGGTTGCAGAAATGTAATAGGAAAAGAAAGTAGGCACTAATCTGTAATAAAATTCACATGAAGTTGAAGCTGTTTTGCATGCCAGCATACTTGACAAAAGACTGACAGGCTGCAGAAAAAATTAGATTCAATCTGGACGTGTCCTTTGCTGTGTCCTTCGTATGCATGCAGATTCAAATCCACTTAATTGCAGTCATGATTCAATCATCTCTGAGAGCCTACAAGCATCACACATTTTGAGATCCTGAGAATGAGCAGTACATACATATTCATGTGTTCGATGTAGCTAACCATATCAGCATAACAAGGAAGAAAGGTATACAGCAGAGACAGCAAGCTACTATGGTTTGCAAATACATACATTATTGATGAGCACACTGTATACTTGTTTTATGTGTCAAGTCTTAATGTAATCTCTCGAAACAGAAATCTACATTTGAAAGCAGAACCTGTAGGCAAAAGGTTTTTTTGGTTTAGGATCGCTTTCTGAGTTCTGTTTTTAAGCCTGTAATCCAAGTGGTACTGACCAATCTTGTCGGAGATTTAGTTGTAGGCAGGAAAAAAAACACATTCCTGGTGAAGAGCAAAATAAGTCAGAATGCTTTAGCAGAAATGTAATTCCTGACTGTTGAGCTATTTTTCCATGAACATGAGATTTTTATGTCACTATATTAATATATCTGCATATAATGATAGATCAGATACAGATTTGGTCCTCTTCTACTGCAACTCCAATTTGCATCCCAAGTTTCAAGTGAGACCACAACAATTACCACCCGAAGCAGGAATCACGCAGAAAATATTCCATTTTCACAAGTCTCGCTCTCATAATGTGGGAAAATCACACAGAAATTCATACATTTACATTGATTATTTCAATTCCCCCGTATGTCATACTGCTAGTGTTTGCACAGTTTAGCAAAGGACAGACTGGTTGGAAACGCTGCATCTGAATGAGCCAAATAAGTCTGGATTTTTCCTCACCGACTCGCTTTTTCTCCCTCTCCTCAACACACACATACAAACATGCGTTTGGGCAGTTTAGCAGTGAATAGCAGAGGTGACAGTTTGACAACAGTGTTTCCCACACAAACTATAACAGTAGCTAACCAAAGTATAAATATACATTTTTAGTTCTTTATCAGCATAAGAGTGACTTCAGCGATCAATAAACTAATGGACAATCTCCCTTTTCTCTATTCTCCTCACCTATGTGTTGCTAGTAAAGTGTCAGTCTGATGCATGCTGTGTCTTTGATATGCTGCACGTCACTATGGAGGCACGTCCACAAGCACTTCTAAACTGACCCGCAAGAAAATTTCATGACTTTTGTTATTTTAGCAACTTACTGGTGCATGCCCAGGGCCTGTCAAGGTCAAGAATCCTGATGGTCTGAAGTCCCGTATGACGGGCAACAATACCGGTTGCCAGGCAGCCAACTTAACAAAGCTTCCTGTCAACCATAACTAATTTCTCAAAGTTGTGTGGTTATTTGTACATGTAATAAAGTCCTGTTTTTGCACAATAGACAGTGGGGCATTTTTTCAAGACTACACAGGTAAATAATTGCGGCAGAAGAACAGGATCTAACTCTGCCAAACCACCCACAGGAGGTAGAGACAACAATAGAAGCAGACAGGAGAGGGAGAAATACCAGGACGAGGAGACAGAGACAGAGGGAGACAGAGCACAAATGGGCAGATGGAGAGGGGACAGGTCCTGAAATGGTCGGTTCTGGGGCGGGTGGGGTGATGAGGAGGGGGTAAAGGGGAAGAAAAGGGGCATTGTAGAAGGGATGAGGACTGAATCTAGAGGATGGGGTCATATCTGGGCAGTCGAAAGTAAGAGAATAAAACAGAAAGTAAAGAACTTACAAAAGGTCTTGCCAGCAGAAGAGAGAGTTGATATGAGAAGACAAGGAAGCACATGGGCAGTAGAAAAAAAGGAAAGTGAAACGGTACAACTAGAAAGAGATGAGAAGATTGAATGAAGAGGAAAAAAAGGTATACTTAAGACAAAACCCATATTAAAACATATTAAAGGATCTGAAAAAAAGAAGTAGAAATGGATGAGTGATGGAGTTCGCAAGAAGGAGCAGAGGGGAAAAGAGTATGGCTGGGCGGGATGGTCACAGAAGGATAGTTCATATTTAGACAGCTCCCTGCTGCACTCAGCTCGGCTTCAGCACACATAACTCTGTTCATCCATTAGTTCAACTAATTCCCATCGCCATCTGCCATGCAATTTCAGATGCACCTCTGGAGTCGCAGAAAAGGTTCAGGACTTTGGGGGTAGGGATGTTGATTTGGAAAATATGAGATTAATTTGCTTAATTGAGGTACCTAATGTTTCCATAACTCAACAGTGAAATTCCGGCAGGAAATTAGGTGGAGGAAGTGTGACCACGCATCCCTCTCTTAAAAATAAATTGTGCACATTTCTCCAGGTTAACGGATTTTTCTGCTAAATGAAGAGGTGGTTTATGAGAAAGTCCTTCTGCCCTGGATTTCATGTCTTTTAATTTTTCATTTAACCAGACTTCCCTTAAAGCTGTAAAAGATAAAGAACAGAAAATTATGCTTTCTTACCTTCATAAGCTGCCTTAAATCCATGAGCGCTTACTGCAAAGTCACTAGTAAGCCTCAGTGAAAAAATGGAGCCAGAACTGGTAACAGGTGGAGGTATGGTAAATCCTGTTAACCTGCAGATAAGAGAAAAATACATCAGTAATGTGTGATGTAAGGCATATCAATCATATCCCATTCAAAACAGTTGTTCCTAACCTTTTTCCTTTGAGACCTTCTCTACCTGAATCTGAGAAAAACCAACCCTGCCCCTTGTTTTTTTTACACCAAGTCATATTACATCACGAGGGGGGCTTGTGCTCTCTGACTCTGGCTTAGCTCAATGTGCATAAGTAGGTGGTACCGAGTCCGAGCGATTGAGTCGTATTGCGTTTAGTTTTCCTAGTCTTGCACTTAATTTTACCAGATGTTCATGTGGTTCAATATTGTGTATGTGCTGGTTGCACTGTTTCTAGCTTGACGGTACAAAGTTTTTCTATAACAGGAAAAGGAATGGCGCTAGCTTTGGGCCTCAATGCAGTTTGTGCAGTTGAAGATTTCTTACTACAAAGAGCCAAAATCAGGTGTTTTATGTAGTGTTGGGTGAATTTGCGCAACCTACTGCCCAGTCAGCAATGACTCCACTCAGAGGCAAGCTGCGACTGTGACTCGTAGTCAAAGAAGAAGCTCTAAACTCACTACAGTGTTGTTGATAAATTTAGCTAAATGTACCACGCTGAAGCTCAGTTAATCACATGAAAACACATTTTATTTCCCTCAAATCCTTCACAATATAAGGCTCTAGTTATTTTTTACTTGAAAAGCCTTTATTATATGACAACTATACAGGATATGGTGTTTCAGCAGGAGTGACTTTATAATAATAAAATGTATTCATATACCGCTTTTTAAAATACAGTTATGAAGCACTTCACACATACAGACAAAAGAAAACAATGTGATCCAGATATACATTCATACCAAAGATGTATACATACATATACAGTACACAATCAGGCATACACAAGTCACATATCAGACAAAAATGTTCAGGACTAGAAATAACAAAATCTGATGGACAAGGGAAGGCTGTTCAGAGTTTGGGAGCTTTTATTGTAAAAGCACAATCACCCCTGGTTTTACATTGGGAGCGATGAACCAAAAGAAGCTGCTGATCAGATGAACAAAGAAGCCGACCACCACAGTTAGGCTGTAACAGCTCAGAAATTCAGGTGCCAGGCCATGTAGAACTTTCTGAGTTATTAACAAGATTTTGAAGTTGATTCTGTGTAGGTAACAGGTGTAGTGAAGGGAGAATTGGAGTAATGTGCGACCAACTATTATTTTTTGTTAACAGCCTAGCTGCTGCATTTTGGACTAACTGAAGACAGGATGAAGAGGATCGTGTGATACCAGAGAAGTGAAAGTTATAGTAGTCTAATCAAGAGAAAATAAGACTGTGTACCAGTAATTACGTGTTGTGTGTGGATAGCATGTTTTTATTGAAGTAATATTTCTCAAATGAAAAAAGCAAGACTTAACAATTTTGGTAAATTTAACATTAAGATGACAAGATTAAGAGTATTAGGCTTGATGAAGAAATCAGAGTTGCTGGTCGTCAGCATAACAATGATAAGAGATACAGGTTTGTGGTTAGACACCTGAAATAAGATCTGTGGTTAGCAAAAGCTTAAGAGATGTTGGTGTTTTGTTAGATGACATAAACTACGTTAGGTTATACCCCCACTTGTGAATTTTGGAGTTTTTACGCGTCCTTAAAAAGGCGGTTGCTAACAAGTGGCTAAATGAGACTACAGTAGTTGTCGGGGACATTAAACGTTATGAAGCCGGACACAAACGCCGGCAACTCTCCCACTAGTCTGTGAAGTCTCCTGTAGGTGTAATCTTTGGGTTAAGGCAAATATTAGGTTAATAAACAATTTATTGCCCGCCCATGGCCTCTTTCCCGCATGTCATTCCCCACTCTCTCTCTCCCTGATTTCCGACTCTATCCACTAGGGTTAGGGTTAGGGTTAGTGTTAACCCCTAACCCTAACCCTAACCCTATCCCCTGTCTCTCCATTAAAAAAGGCACAAAAAGCACAAAAATAAATCTTAAAAAAAAAAAATAATAATAATAAATAAACAATGTATTAAGCTATGCGCATTGGTTTATCGAAGATCGTCTGAAGCATAACAGTAGTGACGTCACAATCATCCGACAGTGGTGTAGTTAGCTTGTAGCATAACGTTAGCTTTTTACTTCTTTCAGCTGCATTAACGCTCCAAACATCATAAAAATGGTGTTCATCTGTGAAGATTATTCTGCTGAACAAAACGCCTACGCATCAGAAACGTGCGTTTGGCACAGCGCCTATTTTCTGCAATGATCCAAAATCCAGTGCAAAAATCCCATAGGGGAATTCTCCATAGACCCCCATGGCAATGCTACTTTTGGGTTGGCCTACAAAAATACATCATATAGCTTTCCTTGTAAGCACGGGAAGGGCAGGAATGTGTGCTGTTCCTTTCCCCAATGCTTTCCACGTAAGCACACTGGAAGGGTAGTGAGATCCCAGAACAGAGCCATACCGCCAAATACAAATAACTGTGTCAAAGTGTCCTTCTTGACAAAGTTCGCCTGATTGAACAAAATGTTTAGTAGATGACCAAGAGATAAAACAACCTAAATCTGCGGGACTCCCAGATGTTACGTAACATCCGGTTGTCTGTTTTAATTCCGGAAATAAAAGCAAACGTACAAAAACGAACACAGGAGTCACTGTAATATGTTAATTCATACATTTCTTATAATAATAATAAAATATTAATTCCAAGTTATTTTCCGACTAGTTGATTCAATGGGGTCTTCAACCTCCAAGTTGCTTTTTTAAGGGTTCTCAAGCAAAACCAAATTTAAACATAAATTTAAGACCATTCAACCTCAATCAAAGGACACCATCGTTCTTTCTGTAAGACATTTATTACAATCTAGCCTTTTTCCTTATATTTTAAGATTTCAAACAGGCAACACTTTGGGAAAGTTGTGAGGCAGAAACCAAAACACAACCTGGGTCTGTTAAACATTAACTACCTGGGGTTAATTAAACATCTGTCAATTTTGTATTTAAATTAGATAGGCCAGCAGGTGAAGTGGCTGACCGTATATTTACGAGTTTCTGTTGAGAGATATCAGCACTAAAACCCAATGACTCACAAAAACTGTACACCACAGTAACTATCGCTAAAAATAATGACTGTTCCAAGACCTCAATTCTCACACCACTGCTGAGTTTGAGCACTGCAGCATTTTGTGTCTAATAAAATAGAAATGCTTTGAGAATTGTGATGCAATTTGTCGACCAATAATATACTGAGTAATATACAATGAAAACCCAAGTGAAAACCTTCCCTATTGTTGGATAGCGTTTGAGGGCTGGCAGCTGCATTGTAACAGACTGCTTCATTACTGCATTTCAAATTAGGTGCGGATCCAAACAAATCCATTTACTTTCACGACGTCGTAAACAAGATGTGTTGCTGACCATTCCTCAGAGGCAGTTGCTGATGTTCTATCGACCTTTCACTGCTGTAAGCCAGGCTGTGCTGCATGAACACAACTTGTGCATCAGACAAAATGTCTCCTCTATTTCCATCCCCATTTTAACCTTCTGTAGCTAGCTTTTTTAGTGTGACTAAACCTCTACTTGACAAGGACCCACGTGAATAATGTCTGTAGAGGAACAACTGTGTAAAAACAGAAATCTTCCAGTGACAGCAAAGAAGAGGATGTTGTATTTACAGCTTCAAAAGAGTTTCCAATTACAGCACTGTGAACTGTGCTGGTCCTTGCAGTAAATAATTCCCCTTAGTTGCAGGTACTGCACAGCATGCCAACATACTGCTAAAGTCAATTGCCAGATGATGCAGTATTGAATACATTTATGAGGTAACAGAACTTGATCTTGTAAGAAGCTTAACCGCAAATGCAGCACTGTACTGAATATGAATCCTATTAGGGTTCAATTTAAAGTGGAGGCAAAATGGGCATTAAAAGAAAAGTCTATATGGTTAGCTCAAAGCAATCATCAAGAACTGGAGGCGCCGGTAACCTAGTGGTGGGTGCCACCACATGTACAGAGGCTTCAGTCCTCAAAGTTCGAATACGACCTGTGGCTTCTTTCACTATACACATTCCAACACCGAAGTAAAATACTGATGAAAGGCATTAGAGGAATGATTTTCTGAAAAAAAAAAAAAAATTTATATATTCATAGAATAATAATTATTTTTGGATATTTCTGGGCCTGAACCTGTGGGCAATTGTGTTCACAATAGAGTAGTAATGAGTCCTAAAACCCAGAAATAAGTAGCACTTTTCAACCTTTTTTCACCACAGAGCTTATTTTCAGCAATGATCCAAAAACCCATGGAACATTATTTTGCCTTTTAGTCGGTGGAAACGGCACAATGCTGACTTCCGGGTTGGCCTACAAAAACACGTCATCCCTGCGGTACTCTACAGGCCGCATCTTTTGAGTCATAGAATTTTTTTTTAACATTATGTTATAGTCTCTATCTCATTCCTATGCTTTCCATTTTATGAATGTATCCCAGGGCTTCAGGTCTGTGTATTTGTTGACAAAGGTCAGAGCAGAGAGGCAAGTAGTGCCCAGGATGACCAGTCTGATTGGACTGCATTCAAAGAACATGTGGGACCTTACTGCAGAATTGTGCTGAGGTTTTGGGTCCAAAACATAATTGCACCTTTAATTTGTCTATTTTACCTTTTTATTCCTCACAAGGCCCACTTTCCCTCTTCACTCACTATCTAGCTCACTTGTCCACTGCTGAGCTCGCTTTCTTACTTCACAGACTCAAAACCTTGAATGTAGACCTGTTTCTTTTAAAAACTAATGCACTTCTGATTCTATGAAAGGCACATTTAGAGGGCATTTTATCCATTTGACATTAAAAATTGTGGTATTCAAAAAGAATTGCCCATTCTTTTGACCATGCCATTTCATTTGGAGGCCCGAAACTATGTTGTACTAAGTTTAAAGAAACAGAAAAATAAACAATTGCCTATTGTCTGCATTGAAAAAGAAAAAGCAGAAAACACATGGAAATGAAATAT